ATATTAAAATAGCGAAAGCAAATAATAATTAAAATTTATATTCCTTACACAGTAAATTAAAGCGTCCAATAGAGTTATGGAAATATCCCTAAAAATAGTTAAAATAATAAAAACAAAAATGAAACTAAAATCCTATAGGGTTAATCTCCACTGGTAACTTTGATGAGGTCTAGGAGATAACTTTTACTCGCAACCCTCCTATTGTTCAAAATCTGAATTTTGGTCTTTTTAATCTAAAATGATTAAATAGAGATATGAACTATACTAACTTAGTAAGAGTATCACACTAATCACTGGTACGAAAAATCGAAGGTTGGTAAAAATTAGAAAATAACTAATTAAGCCATTAATTTAAATACATTCATTTAACATAAAAACCGTTTATTCCATACTTACCGTTATGAGTTCTCAAAATTGACTTACAAAGATAATAACTCAAATAATTTTGTGATCTCATATCCAAGTGAGCAAGAATGACAACTTATTTTTTTACCTGCTTACCGGTACCCTTGGGGGCCTATATAGATGTCCTCCTACGCGTGAACCCAATATCTAAATTTGTCAATTAACCGATCATCTCCATATCCTGTCCGTTAATGGGTGCCAAATCTACCATCGTCTCGATACCCCGTCTAGTATGAGGGTGAACCATATCTCCTAACTCTTCTGGTATCGGACTCCTCAGCCCCCGTCCAGCTGAGGTAATGTCCACGGTAGAATTTTTCCTATGTACCAGGTCCGTCTACCATTTCTCAGGGTATCATGTAAGCTTTTCATGCATAAATTTACATTATCAACCAATCACCAATTATATACTAATATTTCATATTTACAAATCAACAATAAATCATGCAAAGAGATGATATATAAATCAAGAAGACATAATTGGGACATTTATTGCAAAACGAACTAACAAATGAGGACTATGTAGTAGATAAACTAAATAACTGAGAAAATAATTAAAACTAGTAATTTAACCAACACAATATAATAGAAAGTATTTCAAGCAGTATATGAGAAAATAAGCAGTAAACTATGACAAATATACACTGACCGATTCTAGCTCCACTAGTGATCTGTAATTAACGTTAGAGTTTTCTAATTTTCACAAAACATAGCATTAGTGATTATTAAGTTTCCAATTTACCGTATAGGAAAAAAAGTGAGATATTCTTATCCCATACCGGGTATCCGAACACCATACTTTCTACTGCGCCTCCTGATAG